GCTGCAATATAACAAAGAGTGAAAAATTGAAGGGGGTCTGAATACTTTCCGTACCCACTGTATATACATACATACATATGTATACATTATATACAAAAGTTTGGTCATACTGCCCATAACAAAGTTTTGCTTCAGTACTCCCTAGTAAATTTTTAATGAAATAACACAAATAAAATTTGCATTTTGCAATACAAATTCAGTTACAAGTTAAATTCCAACACAAGAAAATGACACAGTCAGAGAGGTGAAGGAGTGAAAGAGTGAGATACAGAACATGCAGAGAGAGAGAGAGAGAGAGAGAGAGAGAGAGAGAGAGAGAGAGAGAGAGAGAGAGAGAGAGAGAGAGAGAGAGAGAGAGAGAGAGAGAGAGAGAGAGAGAGAGAGAGAGAGAGAGAGAGAGAGAGAGAGAGAGAGAGAGAGAGAGAGAGAGAGAGAGAGAGAGAGAGAGGTTAGCATTTGTGGGTAGCCGTGATCAGTTAATGTAGAGTGAGTTGTGTAATTTTGACACTGGGGTAGTTCTGTTACACACTATTAAAGTGAACAACACAGACAAAGCATTGGTACAGTTAGGTGGATGTCTAAACCAAGAGAATGTGCTCCAAGTCCCAAACTTTGACCAACATCCTCAAATATGTCTGTTCTTTGAAGTAAATACCCACTGACAAACAAAGCTGTGCAATCTACAGGAAAACCAAGCCAATTGTGCAATTTTGGAAGAAACCAAGAACAGCACAATGAAAATATGAAGTATATATAAACATTCATGGTCAAAGTTTAGTGCAAGGAAAACCATATCAGCCTAGCCTAAAAGCATACTCACATCTAGAGTGATACAAATCACTGACAAATATTGCAAGTGATTTTTTTTTCACACAGATCTATTCACATTGACTACAATGCAAACTTAATTATGAGAGAAAAAAATCTAACAACTAATTTAAAATGATTTGTCCTTCGGATTAGGCTGAAAAAAAGTGTCACTCATTTTTTTTGTATTATTACGTGATTCTGTTTGGTAAGTCCATCTAAGAAACTACAGAGATGCAGTACTTTATCGAACAAGCCACTGGAATACTAGATACTATGTTGTGCTACTGTGAACTAACTACTGATTAGACATAATTAGTTCCTTCTAGACCATCTACATTTCAAGAAAATAATATTGGACTACAAGGCATTATATATATATATATATATATATATATATATAAATTAGTAAAATTCTAATTGATTCAGTGTCTTACCCGCTCTGCCAGTTGAGTATGTGTTGTGGGCTGCAGGGGGGTGTAGCTGCAGGGTCACTGCAGGGAGTTCCACTCCTCTGACTGTGTGGAGATGCAGCTGAAACACACAGAGACTCCACTGTAAGACACTAATGCACACAGATGAACTACAGTCACATATGCTTATACACGTGGTGAACGTGTCGGAGATAAAGCTGACTGCCAACACCCTCTTGAGCTTCTGTAAAAGGTTTGGTGTGATTCTGCCACCCAGAGAGAGGTGATAATCCCCACAACACACACCCACTGACCAGCACTGTAGTGCCCCTCCTGGTCATTCTCCAGGCTGCGGACAACCACGGCGCTGGGGCTGCTGCCCTCCGTGTACAGCGGGTACTCTTTGATGCGATACTGCGAGGAGGGTTGGCTCTGGCTGTGAAGGTACACACCCTGGTGGCTACCGCACACACCTCCGTGGGTGCTCCCATTGCGGGCCGCCAGGTTGGGCATGCTGCCAGAACTGGACGCGCCCAAGTGTCCGGCAGACTTGTGACGTTGACGCTGCCGCTGTCGGGCTTTGGAGGGCGAGTCCTCAGCCAGCGTACAGTAGTTAGGGTTGGAGGTGGATGAGAGGTAGTAATGTTCTGAACTGGAGTGGCTGGTGCAAGATGAGCAGTCGTCGGGGACAACAGAGCCATTGCTTCCTGTCCTCTGTGGTCCTGACAGAAACAGGTCAGGGCTAAGTCCCGCCTCTGTGTCCACCTCCAAGGATAGCAGCTTCCCCTGAGACTCCAAACTGGAACTTCGGCCACGGAATGGCTGAGTTAAACTGAGAAAGAATCGAAAACTGAATTTTAGTGGATTATTCAAACATTTTTTATATTTAAGTATTATATTTTTAAAATATTTGTTATTTATAATAAATTAATATTTTTATTCAGCAAAGATGCATTACAATGACTGATAATAACTGAGCAGCAAATCAGCATATTAGAATGATTTCTGAAGGATCATGCGACACTGAAGACTGGAGTAATGGCTATTAAAAATTCAGCTTTGCCATCACAGGAATAAATCACATTTTAAAATATAAAAAAAAGAAAACAATTCTTTTAAATTGTAATAATATTTCACAATTTTTAATGTTTTTACTATATTTTTGTTCAAATAAATGCAGCATTGGTGAGCAAAAGTGATTTCTTTCAAAAATATTTAAAAAATCTTCCCAAAACAAAACAAAACTTTTGACTTGTAGTGTATTTTGAAGAAAGATTACAAACACAGACATTATTTTTCTTTGGAATGAATGAGTTTTTTGATAGTAAATAGGGTCGATTTTGAATTTATGTTGATTTTATGTTTGGTTTTCATTTTATTTTAAATGTAGTTGTAAAAATAAATAAATAAATACATTATATTATATTATATACATATTAATTATATTATTACATAAAATATGAATGAGTTGAAATATAAATCATTCATATAAAAAAAGAATGAATTTATTTAGCCTAACAATACAATTATGTAAATAGTATGTTGAAAACAGGATATATACAGGAATCATGGAGTTAAATTTGATACCTTTTAAGACCTTTTTTAAGACTCTTTCCATACATTTGAAGACCTCATCGCCACTCCAAGTTTTAACCGGTTACATCGGCGACACTTTAACTTACATTTACTATATATTGATTGTAAGATAGCACAACTAAACAGTCTAACTTTGTGATACTCCTTATCAATGCAACATAATTCAGAAGGGGGGGCGAAGCACAAGAGAATTAATTGAGTGACTAACCAATGCAACCTAAGAAACAAGAATTAGACCACTAAACAAAACAACTGACAAAACTTATTGAGGAGGGAAAATAAAGCTCTCCGAGCTAACGGGAAAATGAGTTCACACAGTATATTCAAAAGACGTATTTGCAACATCAACTCTTATAACTGTCTGCAAACCATAGCTGTTTTGTGGAACACTTCTCATGACAAACACCTGACTGGTCAGACAGTTTACCTGTGATTACGGAGTGCTTGATTTGATGCAGACTTGACATAGAGTGTCAGTACAGCACCTGATCAAGTCTGAATGATCATGAAAGGTAAAATAATGATCACAACTATACCATCATTTTAACTGTGCATCCCATGCTAGTAAAAATCAGCCCAAAGTAGCGCAATGACCATGTCCCAAACATAAAAATATGTCACATACATATTTTATGTACAAAAATACATATTTTACAGTCAATGTTATGCACATTGATCATAAACACAGCTCAAAGGCTTCCTTCTAGTGGCCCTCCACAAAACATTTAGCAGTTTTATTACAGGTAGAATGCAAAATGTTGGAGTACAAGCATTTCAGTCAAATGTAATTTATGCAATATTTCAAACCTTTAACCCACTGGGGAAAATCAACCCATGGCAACAGTTTAAAATCAGCAGTTTAAAATCATTGACAAATATCTTATATCGTAATGTGTGCTCCCTTTCAAAAGCGATTTAAATAACCCACATATTGATAGCGGCAAAAAATTATATACAATATTAGAATGTTTGTGAGTGTGGACACAAAAATCGCGGGAGCAGATGGGAGCGGGCGGTAATGGTCAGAAATTCAGCGAGAGTGGGATCAACAAGCCCCAGGCTATCACGCAGCGGTGCAGTCAGTGAGCGACATAACAGATGACGCCAAATCTTGAGGGATTCCATAAATAAACTACACATTTGTCTCTTCTAGGGCTGCCCTCGACTAAAGATTTTTCTGGTCGACTAGTAGTCGTTCATTTTAAGCATTAGTCGACTATTAGTGGCATGTTTATTAATAAACCATATAAATCATAATAATGAGCCTTTAATTGCCTACATAGCTTAATAAGCGCTCAAGCGCACGCAAAAAAGCTTGCCACAGTGCACCGGCAGATTTAATAATTATGAATGTGTCAGGGAAAAACAGCAAGGAGACTGCATTAACATTTTTATAATTTATTGATAAACTAGTGCTTTCTGTGTTTTCGGCTTAAGAGATGAAGTCGGCGTCACTGACTTGTCATCTCCGCAGTAGTGATGCGCCTTTATGCATGTTTCATATGGATTACATAATCTGAGAATATTTGTTTTCCATTTGAATTGGTTCATTTAAAAGTATACATTTCACTCTCTATAGATATATTTTTCATGGCTGTAAGGCAAGCATACACCGAGTTTCACGCTCAAGTTCACAGAGATCGAGACGGCAGAAATCACATCCTGTTTGCTTTCATTATTTTACAAAACCGTGTGAGTGCACACAAATAAACGTAGAGTCTTTACAGATTCGAAAGATGTATTACTCTTATCATATGAGCAGAAATGAGGGAGTATTTTAAAAGTAAGTGGCCGCAACGGCGCCTCCATCTGTCATGCAGTGAGCATGCTACTGTTCAGCTTCCACACTCCGCACAGACACTTGAATAGCGCACATCTCTCTAGATTAACATTAGATTGAATGGCCATGTAAAGTTGCTACTACCTACATATTTCAAATGAAAAGCCATATTTGAGGTTGATGAATGATAGGCGAGCGTTTGGATGTCCGGCCTGATGTACTGTATTAACACAGACCAGCCGTTAACGATCTGTCCGTCACGGACTGCGTGACTTCGCCACTTCCTGTGGATTTTTTTTTTCGGCGACTAATACAATTTTGGTCGACCAAGCCTCTTCTCGTCGACTAATGACTAGTCGACTATTAGGGGGCAGCCCTACAAAATTTAATACCTTGGAAAATAGCATTTAAGACTTTTTAATGGCCTTAATTTTCCCTAAATTGATTTATCAACTTTTTAAGACTCCGCGGACACCCTGGAATAAAACCACAGGTGATGTTCTCATGTCGACAGCAGAGGATATTTAAGTGTGTGTGTGTGTGTCCAGCACCTGGCCGAGTGCACATAGCTCCGTGTTCTCAGGTCAGGGGTGGAGGGCATGCTGGACTGGCTGTTCCAGTGAGGGAGGGAGCGCACAGGGCTGTTCTGGAGAGAGTTGCTCCCTCCCGCCTCATAGCTGCCTGTGCTGGGGAACCGCCTGTGACTACTGCAGAAAAAGAAAAGAATAAACATAATTCATTTATTTACATGTGCACCACACTTCTCATAAGAATTTTTTTTTAGACAGGTCTGTACCTGGAGTGTGAGGAGCGTTTCTTCACCCGTTCGTAGGGTTCGTCTAATGAGCTTTCGCTCCACATGCGCGGTTTGATTGGGGACTTGTCATAGTCACTGCGTTGGAAATGCAGGTGTCTCAGTCCGTCCAGGGACTGTGGGGGAGGCGGTCGGCTGTGGGACGGGGGTCGGGGAGGGAGACCTTTGTGTGGGGAGGCAGCCGGAGAGAACGTAGGGGTTCCTGTCACCTGGGGGTCGTCTGGAGAACAGAGTGAGAGGATATGAGATAAATATATCATTAAATGTTAAGATGGTGCATGCATACCTGTTTCTTTTACTTTGGGGGACAAAATTGCTAAAAGAAATGATAGAAATGAAGAAAACTAAATGAATGAAAACTAAATTAGAGTCTTAATGTATATTAACTGATTGGATAAGCCACATTCAAAGTTCTTTTAAAAAATACCAATCAGCAAATTAAATATTAATCAGCAAAATTAATGATTAATGAGGTAAATGCCTGTTTTGTATATGTAAACTATATTAATTGCAAAATAATTGTTTATTGCATCTTGATATCCAACCTCACATTTTACCAAACAACACCACTTAAAGGAAATTTTAGGAATTAAAAAATGAAAATAATCAAAGAAATCAAAAGGAAAGAAAAAGAAAATAGTTCATAAAACATCTTGAGTATTATTTGATTAGATAATTAAAGTTCAAAGTTATTGTAAAAAATATCAAATTCTATACTAAATATTAATGGGCCAGATGAATGAATATTAATGAGACCAATGACTGTTTTGTATCTGTAAACTACATTATTTGGCAAAAGAATAGTTTATGCTGGCTTCATTCTTGTTTGCAACACCCACTTTTCACAATCCAATTAATTACAGATGGATATAATCAAACCCTGACCTATTTTTTTCTTAATTATTCTGCTTCAATTTGAAACCAGAATACAGATATAAAATTGGTATTTATGTATAAAAATGGTACAGAACTTACCATCATCCAGCACCAGGGCGTCAGACAGTGAGCTGTCCTCTGAGCCGATATTCGCTTCTGCCGAACAAAGACAAAGACACTTCAAAGCTAAAACTCATACACCAACATGTCAAACAAATCTTCGCAACCTGAGCGTGAACACGAGTGCGTTAAATGAATTTTCGCAGCAGAGGTCACACACAGACACGTTCACACAGTTTTATAGGTCTATGGGGAGGTGCGATTACTCTTGCTCTCAGCATGAAAGACTTTACAGAGGAAACACTTAATGAACTCACAGGAGCACTGCGAAAACATCTACAAATACAATGAACAGAATTCCTCACCCTCTATGATTAGAGATGCACGTTGTGTGGGTTTCTTCCCAGAGCGAACACGGTACTCGTTGATGCCGTTCTCGATGTCTTGCAGCTTCTTCAGAGCATTCAGATATGACGTCTTCCTCTGTTTCTTCAACTTTTTGCTGCTGATGTGAGGATCGGATGCTAACCGTCGCGCTGCCTCCGTTATCTGGGACTGGATGGCAAATTCCCTTTCCAAACGCTCCAACTCCTCTTCCTAAAAAAACACACGGATGTAAACATACAAAAAATGAGTAAACTGAGCCAAAAAAAGAAAAACACATAATCCTTCCTATCATCATTTGTGAAATTACACACTGTCAAAATAACAAGACAACTATGGGCGCCAAGTTGTCTAGTTCTCACACACACATTGAGACAGCTAAGATATTGTGGCCTCTTATCAATGCCTTCGATTAATTACCCAAAATTAACAATCATCAGTCATGTAAAAACACACATACAAAGACAAAGATGACATTATGACCTCTTGCATAAATCAATTTTCTTCATTTACACAGCTAAGCTCGTTTTTTGGGTTTTGTAATCCAGTTCCTTTGGCTGACATTCAACGCATACACTGCACTATCGCCACTTCCTCTGATCATGCCAGACTGGAGCTATTTATAGACCCCTGCACACATATATGGATATCTAATTGTGGCTTAAAGGGCAGTGTATGATGAAACAATTGAGCAGCGTTCGCTGGGGTCAGGGGTTCAGAAGTTTTTACAGTACCAACTATAAATCACACTAAAAAAAATCACTGACCTCTCCTTTGGGCAGGATCTTCTGCTCGTCCAGTTTGTAGGCGGTGCCGATTTTGCGTCTGATGGTGGGCGGCTCCTCCCCGGGGTCGAGAGGGTACTCTTTTGGAAGTTTTCCTGTCAGCTCCTGAAACACAACACACTATGTTACACTCTTAATCCATCTTTTTGTGTGTGTATGAGTGTGTGAGATTAAGATTCTAGTCCTGATCAACACCTTTGAGAGCAGCAAATCCAGGCTTGACTGTTTGCAACATGATCTTTAGGCATCCTAAGGCATTATTCTGAACAAAAGTGTGCTGCTTTCAAAGACTTTAAATCATAAGTCATGTATCATAGATTTTTTCACTTGATTAAACAGGCTGGGCACATATTTAACAGTAAAACAGGCCAACTATAAGTTTAAGATACTCATAAACAGATACTGTTTTATTCAATATACACATCTGTAATGAAATTGGTTTATGTACTAATATATATAAAGGCAATAAAAAGACTATTGTGCCAATGCTAGTAAAATCTATATATTGAATGATAGGGCGACCCACAGATGCTACAAGAGTTTACATTGAATTAAATGTCCATAAGAGTTTACTATGTGACCAAAATACCAATATCCAGAAATTTTAAATGAATTACCAGCTTGTGGAAACTGTAATCGTGTAGAGCGCACAACAGCGCAGTGTTTTGACTTTGAATGTGCAGTGATCAGTCTTTTGAAGTTTAACAATGACATCAAGGCGTATTGTGATTCCTGTTCTTTCATCGAGAAATGTAAGACTTCTTAAGTGATATTTCTTTAAGAGATTTTGTTGTACCATTTAAAATATTTACATTTAAGACAGAATTTGTACCACCTTATATTTGATCAAATTAAATGTAATACTTTTTAAAAACACGCGCGAAGAACCATGTATGATTTAAAACATTATTTGCACACGAAAAAATGTAATAGTCCTTTTTCTGGCAAAATAGCTTCCTATGCAGACTGCAGACAGCAAATAAGCTCAGGTCTTCCAACAGAGCCATTATGCTGAAGTGAGAAGTTTTTTCGATCCTTACCGCTTCTCTGATGCAAATGCTCTTGAGTTCCTCTATTCTCTTTCTCAGCGTCTCCTCCAGAGCTTCCTGTCTGGCCCTCAGAGCTGTCAACATGTCCTTCTTAGCGGTCTGGGAGCTGTCTGACTCTTGAGAGCCTACAAACACACACACATACATACATACACAAGGTAAGATCAAATCTAGGGTTGACATACGTCACATTTTACCAAATATGTGTGTGCATGTGACCTAAAGGTCAAAGATCAGAAATGTTTAAAGGTCAAATCAGCACAAGCAGCTCCAGACTTCAGCTTAAACAATCAACTGACCTTCTCGCTTAGCAAGAGGGTGTGTTCTTCATCTCTTTCAATGCTATGAAAGGAGCAAAGTGTGTGTGTTTCCGGACAAAATTGAACAAAGGGCCCCAATGGGGCAACATTGTTTAGCAGATACTCCATGTGTATCAGAGCATAATGCAAAATTGTGTGTCTGAGATGTTTACAAGGAAGTGAGCTAAATTTTTTGGCAAGATTTGGAAGGATTACATAACAAGTGTGATACCTTAATATCACTACACAATGCTAAAGACATTAAACCAGTATTTGTTTACCTGTGGTAGAAATTAGTCGAGGCTATGAATGTGTGTTTTCTCACACTGAAACTATGTAGCATCATGGAAGCTTCCTGCATCTCTGCAGAGGAATGTGATGCATCTGGTGTGTTTGGAAGGGGATAATGAGTGTGTGTGGGCAGGCAGCTGTCTGGGAATCAGTGAAGGGTCGGCAGTAATAGAGACAGAATATGATCGGGGTCACTGGCTGTGTCGCTAGTGTCCAGTCAAGCTTTCTGTGTGTGTGTGTGTGTGTGTGTGTGTGTGTGTGTGTGTGTGTGTGTGTTTGTAAAGTATTTTGTGAGGCATCAAGTAAGGCAAGGCAAGGCAAGGCAAGTTTATTTATATAGCACATTTCATATGCAATGGTAATTCAAAGTGCTTTACATAAAAGAAAAGAAAATAATACAAGGAATTTAAAAACTTTGAAAATGATAAAAAAAATGTATTTAAAAGGTTTAAAATGAATGTAAAACAGTTAAGAATAGAAAAAGATTATACATAAAATATAGTGCAATCAGTTCGGACATCGCACAGTGCTCATTCAATAAATGCACAGCTAAACAGATGAGTTTTGAGTCTGCAGTTAAATGTGAAATGTTAAAGCACTGAAACCTTAAATTTGTCCTGTCACTCTAAATCAATATGGCATGGCATGGCATTTGGCGATCTTCTATATTATGACATACACTACCGTTCAAAAGTTTGGGATCAGTAATACATACATACATTTTTCAAGAAATTAATACTGATATTCAGCAAGGATGCATTACATTGGTCTAAAGTGACAGTAAAGACATTTATAACGTTACAAAATAAAAGTTGCTCTTTTAAACTTAAACATATTAAGAATCATGACTGTTTTCAAGATTGATGATAAGAAGAAATGTTTCTTGAGCACCGAATCCGCATCTTATAATGATTTCTGAAGGATCACGTCACACTGAAGACTGGAGTAATGATGCTGAAAATTCATCTTAGCCATCACAGGAATAAATTACATTTTAAAATTGAAAAGTTATTTTTAAATTGCAATAATATTTCATAGTATTACTGTTTTTACTGTGTTTTTGATTAAATGCAGCCTTGGTAAAACTTCTTTCAAAAATATAAAAATCTTATGGACTCCAAACTTTGAATGGCAGTGTATTTTGGACTAAAAAAATATTTAGTGGTATTTAAACATTTTTTTTTTGTGGACACACTAAGACCAAAAGTAAATATTCCAGAAACACTCTGAACATACGAGTGAACCAGAGTGGGAATTCTTGTCTCCCAGTTCCTGTGAGTATGTGTGACAGGAGAATTTAGCTGCAAAGAGCTTTTCCACTTCGCCAAGTTTGGATTTGCTGAGTTGCCAAATAAATCCATCATTTTTGCTTCCCAGTGGAAAGCATTCTGCACGGGGATGTGAAGTGAAAGACGTTAAGAGAAAATTAGTAATGGAGACATACACTTGGGCTGGGTGGGGTTCATGGGAACTCCAGAGGGGCAGAACTGTCCTATGGTGAACCTATGAAGCAAATCTACTGCAAAGAAAGGCATCACACTGCATGACACACAAAAACAGAATAATTCTGCCATTGGAACAGAGCGACATTGTTCAGGAGAACGTCTCTGTGAAAACTCTCTATCCTTTCAGACACTACATATAAAGAGACAGGAGATTTCTGAAGCATCTGAGGGCCTTACAGAGCAATGACACACACATGCACATTTAACTGTACTGTATTTATAACAATACTTCAAACTGACTCTTGTACTTTCATAATAAATGTTCCTGTCCATACTTTGACTGATTCATCATGCATGTTATTCTTAAAAATAAGCTAAATGTAATAATGTCTTCTACCTTTTTGTTTTCTGCTTACATAACCCAAACTTCATGAGCAGGGAAAAATAATATAAACCAATAATATTATTGCCTAACATTTACAATACCGCCAGTATAACACCAATATGCCACCAGTGGATGAAATGAAGGTCTTATATTATTTCAGACTGAAAAGCAAGTTTTTTTTTTTTAAAGGTGCCATAGAATGGAAAACTGTATTTACCTTGGCATAGTTGAATAATAGTTCTGTACAATAGTTCTGTACATGGAAATGACATACCGTGAGCCTCAAACACCATTGTTTCCTCCTTCTTATGTAAATCTTGTGCATTCAAAAGACCACTGACAAATAGGCGAATCAGAACATAACACCGACTGTGACGTTACAGTCGGGATCACTAATATGTACGCCCCAACATTTGCATATACCCGCCCATGGTCGAGGCCAGCCGGACCTGCACAGCCAAATCATCAGAAGTTCTGCAGGTATTGTGAAGAAACAAGCGAGGACAACAGCGAAAATGGCAGATCATGGAAATAAATGTTATGTTCCAGGCTGTGCAGGGGATGTGATGTGCAGGGATGGGTTGGTGTCTGTATTCAGAAAGGCACGGAAAGCAAATAACGCGCGTTCTAATAAAATAACGCGAGCCACTAAAGGGACATGTTAGCTGCTTGCTAGCGGTAGCCTGTTACATTACAGTAAATAAGATTTCACTTACCACATAAACAGAGTAAGGAGAGATGACTGAGGATGATGGCGAATGATTTACAGATCCTGA